ATACATACATACATACACACACACACACGCACACACACTAGTTCAGATTATATTTTGTCTAACAGAAAAATTACTAGTTGTTTCATAGTAAACTTGAAATACCGTTTATTGTAGAACTCTTCWAGACAGATTAATTAGGGTGCTTTTGATGACCAGTTGTTTTACTGGTTGGTTTAACCCCTTCAGGCTTGTAGGTCCCTATAGCATGAGACAATATTAACAGAAACAAAACATTCAACCAGTGACCTAACAAACGGTGGAGTCACAAACCGGAGACATTTTCAGTGTCACAGAAACTAGAACTTTATTTATGAAAACACATGGTAACAAAAGCAAATTTAAGATTAGAAAATACAAGAAATAATAAAATGGGAGTGATCAGAATACTATTACATCTTTACAATATTTTCCCCTCTATTGTTTAATTGTACTATTTCTTATTGTTGATGTCCCAGGTATGTTCTGTTCAAGCTGAATCAAAGTTTTGCCATAAATAAAATCATTATCATCAATTATCCTGACTGAACTTTGAAAGACCACAAACAGATTTCTGGTTGTGTCCAGWTATAACTGATTTTGGATAAAAGAGATTAAATTTATCTACCATGTATTAAATATTCAAGTGAAATTGTCATTTTTTATCTTGTTTTAGTGTCCCACCAAATGGACTATATCAAAGTGATGTGTACACTATCGGTTAAGTCTTACCCCATAAATATGTGCAATGATAATGTGTAAATATAGTATGTCTGCCTTTTGTTGTCCACCGAAGCAACACCCTCATTACTGAGGATGGGGCCACAAACTGCCAATCCTTCTGCTGCATCCTAACATCACTCGTAAACAAGACRCCCTTAAAACTCCTCCCTAACCCGGAGGAGGCATTCCACACTTATTCGGTCAAGAACTATGGCCTCATCTGATTCTGATTTCTGTAAACTTTAGGTTAGATTTTAATTACTGTATAACCTGGTAAAATAGAAATATGTAGACAGTAATTGATAACTGAGCACAAATGTTCAACAAACCTTAAAACAGGAAGATTCACTTTTGTGTGAACTCATACAGGTCTCTAGGAGGTGTTTCAATTTTTTTTCAATCCTGTGTGGATTTGCATGTGTCTGTTTAAAGATGACTTAAGGCTAAATTTGTGTCCACAAACATCACAAGCAAACATTTTCTCTCCTGTGTGGACTCTCATGTGGTATTTTATATGTGACATTTGACTAAATCTCTGTCCACAAACATCACAAGGAAATGGTTTGTCCCCCGTGTGAATTCTCATATGTGAAATTAAATTTGACTTACGGCTGAAACTTTGTCCACAAACATCACAAGGAAATGGTTTGTCTCCTGTGTGGACTCTCATGTGAGTGTTTAAATGTGATTTTTGGCTAAATCTTTGTCCACAAATATCACAAGGAAATGGTTTGTCTCCTGTGTGGACTCTCATATGTGAGTTTAAATGTGACTTTTGGCTAAATCTTTGTCCACAAATATCACAAGGAAATGGTTTGTCTCCTGTGTGGACTCTCATATGTGAGTTTAAATTTGACTTGCGGCTAAACCTTTGTTCACAAACATCACAAGAAAACAATCTGTCATCTGTGTGTATTCGCACGTGTGAGTTTAAATGTGACTTTTGGCTAAATCTTTGTCCACAAACATCACAAGAAAATGGTTTGTCTCCTGTGTGAACTCTCATGTGTGAGTTTAAATGTGACTTATGGCTAAATCTTTGTCCACAAACATCACAAGAAAATGGTTTGTCTCCTGTGTGAACTTTCATGTGTGAGTTTAAATGTGACTTTCGGCTAAATCTTTGTCCACAAACATCACAAGGAAATGGTTTGTCTCCTGTGTGGACTCTCATGTGTGTGTTTAAATGTGGCTTTTGGCTAAATCTTTGTCCACAAACATCGCAAGGAAACGGTCTCTCTCCAGTGTGTATTCTCATGTGCGAGTTCAAAGAGGATTTTTCACTAAATCTTTGTCCACAAACCTCACAAGCAAATGGTCTCTCGCCTGTGTGTATTCTCATGTGTGAGTTTAAGTGTGTTTTCCTGCTTAATCTTTGTCCACAAACCTCACAAGGAAATGGTTTGTCTCCTGTGTGGACTCTCTTGTGTGAGTTCAAATGTGTCTTTCGGCTAAATCTTTGTCCRCAGACTTCACAAGGAAACAATTTGTTTCCTGTGTGGACTCTAATGCATTGTTTTAAATCATTTTTGTCGGTAAATCTTTTATCAGTAATGTTGCATTTAATTGATTTTACTTCTGTCTGGATCTTCACTTGTGACTTTACATTTTTCTGTACTCTAGCACACATTTTATTACCAAAACAAGTTGTAGACTTTAGTTTTGGATGACAGGTCATGGGTCTCTGATTGTTCACATCATTATCATCCTCATCATCCTCATACTCCTCACTGAGTTCAGTCTCTGAAGAGCTGGAACAGTTTTTGTAAGTATTTCCATCTGGGTTACTGGTAGTTTCAAATCCTCCACAGTCC